CTAAACCGTTCATCCGGGTGAGTGACTTGTTTGTTTACTTTTTATTCAAAATGGATTGAAACAAAGTATATCTTGGCTGTGGTCCTTTGAGCTTAGAACTTGGAAAGTAGTACGATTCCCTTTTTTTTATTAAAAGCTTTGGCTTGGATACAATAAGTTCTTTGAGCCATGTCTTCGTTTAATTAGCGGTATCATCATTAAATATTTTCCATTGTGGTCCTACAACATTACGTTTTCACTTTCTCTTAAATAACTTAGTTTTCTTGTTTAGGCTTTTGAAATAGTCTTTTAACCGGCGGGTGTCAATATTTATGTTTTCACTTTCACTTTACATATCGCATTATTGTCAATTTGGACAAAAACTTTGAATTCGTAGTTATTGGAATTTTCAGAATAAACTATTTATAATAAATAAGGAATATAGTTCTAACTTTCTCCATGATTATATCTTTCCTCGTATTTTCTTCAAAATACATTTAAAATAAAATTAATCTTTGTAAAAACCGTACTTGTAACTTTAAAAGCCCGTCATTTTTTTAACGATTCCCTCTTAAATATAGGTTAATAAATAAAAGACAGATAGTAATTTCTAACGGATCATTTATTTATTACAGTGAATCAGATCGAAAATCGATTTTTAATTAAACATTACATTTAACATTGACGTAATATATTAAATTCGAAAATTTTATTTTACAAAGAATTAAATTAACTAGAATCTATTGTTACGTTAGTTTAATATTGCACAGTTAAAGTGGAATTTTCGTTTAACTCTAAGTGTTTATTTTTAATTACATCAAAGACGTGCCCTTTAATTTACTAGTAAATATAACTAAACTTCAATGTACAAATGTATAATACAAAAATATTTAACATTTATTTAATTAAGTAAACAAATAAATATTAACGAAAAAATAAAATAAAATGCCAGGCAATATTAAACTAGGAATTTCCCTGTACCAGGGCAACGAAATAAACTCCTGCGCGGCACACGAAGACAACTTGGAAAAGTTGGTTCCTGTAATTCGTCTTACCGGGAATCGAGCCCGAGATCAAAGCCATCAAAAACATAAAACAAAAATTTACTACAAATACAATGTGTTGATTTGCATTCTCTCCATATTTACAGAGGTCATTCTATATCCGAAACTGAACCCAAATCACTAAAAAAATAAATCGAAAAAAAATAAATTCGTAAATTCCTATTTTTTATTTAATTGCGGTAAACAAATTAGATCCAAAGGTCATTGACTTGCACGGCACTTGCAAACATTTTGAACAATGACCTTAAATGCGCAGAAAGAAACGCATTTTAGATCTATTTGGTGGTCGGGTGCGAGCAGCGAGCGACGGCGGGGAAGTGTCGTATCGAGCGCGCGATTGGTAGATCAGTCGACCTTGCTTCTCGTACTGCGTCTACGTCACGCTGACTGTCACGAATGCCACGTGGTTTGGTTTGCTATGTAAACAAGAGTTAGTAGTGCAAAAAAAGAATCCTGAACCCCAGACCCTGCATGGTAATCCACCAAGTACAAGCGCATGTCTATTCTTAAGGCCTGATATGAAACGTTTGGTTTACGCGGAGGATACGAGTGTCAAAGTTTCTGCTTTCAAAGTAACTCACGTGCGAATCTCAGCATAACTGGTGGCTGGCTCCGTAGCGGAGCCACCACCAGCTGTGAAGCTAGGTACTTCTAGCAATAATATAATGTAACCTAAAGTTGGTAAGTACCAAATCTAAGTAACAAAAAACTTTTTTCAGTCAACTTTTCTCGTGAATGTAAATAAATAGTAAATTATAACAATACTAGTACATAATCATAATTAAAAAAATAGGTAAGTAAGCGATCGAGAAAGACCTTGCGTAGTGCACACAACTTCGAGACAATTTTGAAAAACTTTACTAGATACAATAAGCCAGAATATTGAACAGAATAATTTAAGCATTATTTCTATAATTCTTTTTAAATATGGCGTGAATGCAAATCAACACACTGTATATACAGGGTTGTTTTAAAAATACTAACAACTTCGCAGTACAACTAACATCATAAACGACAACTTTTGTTCCATGCTTTTAATAATTCATCTCCTAGTTTGCCACCCTTAGGCCTTATTCAGAGTGACGGCGGGCGCAGATGCGGGCGCGGGTGCGTGTAAATCAAATGTACCTACAATCAAGAGCACATCAAGCTTGACGCTTTGTACTTAGACCGTTCTTATCGTATGCGGCATAGAGTTGGATTAAAGTCTTAAGTGTAAAGCTTGACGTGCTCTTGACCCTGTACGTAGACGCTCGTTGCGTTAGATAGATAGATCAACTGGGTCGGGGCGCCCGTACCTTTCATAGCGCTTGGTCTAGCGTCTAGCGTCTGTTTGCGATTTCGACGTGTGGAGCTACCCGCTCGTAGTTGCTTCGGCACTGTGAAAGGGAAGACGCCAAGACCCGCGCCTCCGCACCTCGCTTTTTGAATGAGTCCTTAGAGGTGGAACATTTTCTACAAATCAAAATTGGGACCAATACTGATATACCCTCGTCCCAAGAGAAAAATAAATCATCAAAATCAAATGTAATACGCAAGGTTGGTAGTACCTTATACAAATAACCCTGTACAAAATTAAACAAAATCTTATTAAAAATAATCAACGTACAAATATCCTAGTGATATTACAAAATACATAGTATATGGCACTAAGGTTTAACAATACATGATTATTTACAAAACCCTACAGGACCCGTGCCCGACAGTGGGACGCACAATTGTACATATAATGATTGATGATGATAACTATTTACAATAGAATATTTTCATCCTATATTTGAATTGCGATTTCTTTGGTTAAGTATTTATTTACATGTGACAAATTCAATGACTACAGTGGGCCACACCCGAATACTGTTTGTCAAAAGTCTTTACCGAAAATTGTAATGCAAAAAGCCATGCAAACGCCTATCAATCTCAAGCGCGTTCGTGAAACTCGCAATTGCATCGCTACACTTGCGAATTATAGGCGCTTGAATCGATGCAAACGCGGGATTGTATCGATGCAGCCGCCTATGAATCCCAAGTGTAGCGATGCAATCGCGCGTTTGTATCGATGTAGTCGCGCGATGATATCGCTACTAAAAATGGCCTGTGTAACCTCTCTTGGACTTCAAATGTAAATAGACAGTTTTTCTACTGCTCAAATTATATAAAAGGTAATTAGCCTTGGTGTAATAAGTCTACATCTCCAAAATGATAAATTTCAATTCAATTTCAAGATTCTACGTTGGAAATTAGTTGATAACTTTTAATGCTTAATTAAGAAAGTTGAAAAATCTCACATATGCATATAGTTATAGGTTCGTATTTCGGATTATTTTTATAACTTCCATGTGACAACTTTTGCAAATAAGACTTTTGCAACAAATTTTAAGTACTGCCACCTAACCTTACCTATTTCTGCTGCTGCTGTCAAGCATTACGGTAAACATTACTGCGTTCCGGTTTCCGGTAATGGCGCGTTTCCATTATATCGTAACGTTTTCTATATTGTTGGACGACTGTCGCATCTAGCGTATTCCTATATCACGACTATCTGTCGTGACTGTGTTGCGGACTATTTTTGATCGTTGAACGACAGTCATGCCAGCTGTTTCTATTAGATCGTGACGACAATTTATCGTTTCACGGCAGCAGGTCGTTTGCAGATATGAGACAACGATAAATAAAACGTGGCGACAATAGCAGCTACGATTATCTGTCGGACGACTGTCGTTCTAGCTCTTTCCATTGTCACAAAAGTCTGTCGTCACAGTTAATCGTGTTGTACTTTAAGTGAACACCATACGACACTTTAAAGTGCAGGACTATCAGTCGTCACGATATAATGGGAACGCGCCCTAATCACATGAGTAATTACTCATATGCCCTAAGGCCATAAATTCGCAACGGTGGTGGTGCATTCAGCGGGGCGTTAAACATTTGCTCGTTACTACATTGTGTCTTGTGTTGGACAAGACACACATTTGCGCGCAATGTACGCACCACCGTTCCGAATTTACGGCCTAAGGGTGCTGGTGAAATTACAGGCACATGCGACTTGTCCACTTATGTATCAAGGTGAAGGGCGCAGTGGCAGTGCCCCTCAGATCTTTGCAATTTAAAGTTCAGCAACTGTTATTGATAGGCGCGTCGCTTACCGTAGCCTGATGGCACGACTGAGGAGCACCGCCACGGTCAACACGCTGAGACATAAGTTGACAAGCACCCTCCAAAACCGGAACTCAGTAATGTTCACATTACTGCTTGGTGGCAGAAATAGGTAAGGTGGCAGTACTTCCCTGAATGAACTCCTTCATAAGTACTGCTACTGCGATTTGACTAGGATAATGTATTAATGAGGCATTGGCAAATTAACGCCAATCAATCTTAGTATAACACATTTCCCGTTGTGATACGTATCACTGATCAGAAATCTCCTAAAAGCCAGTCCTATCATTAAAATGAGCATCTTTGGTTCTAACTTTCGGAAACTCACACATTTTTTTGCTTCCTATACAAAATAGACGATGTAGAGATTCAGATTTAAGGCCCATTTACATGGAGAGAGTTTCTTTTCTTGAAGATGCGATTATCGAAAGAAGTTGATGTCAAACTTTTTCACGTAGGACACAATCGCTTCGCCATTGACTATGGAACATCTGCGTGTAAACAGAACAATATCGTAGTAATCACTGAACTCAAATTGCAAATCTCGTACTCAAAACGGTTCAAGCCGCCCAGGGCAACGTCATTGACGGATCTTGTCCTTCGAATGATTGATCTTGAAGAATCTTATTACTAATATTTCACTGTATGAACAGATGCAGTAGACGATAATTGACTTGCGAATCTCGAATGACATAACTGAAGGCGCGACTTGAGATCTCGTCAAAGTTCTTGCGATAATGGCGTAGGATTTCTCTCCACGAAACATGCGATAAACTCTCTCCATTTAAATGACCCCTAAAAATCTTGTTTATTCTTGTTCATCTTTGTATTTCTTGGTGTCGAGTTTAGTTTATCGTCTAACCTTTCTAGGATACCGTGCGTTACCCACAAAATCCCTGTTGATACGTCATTTTTTCCCACCTATACCACCTATCAAACCCTGGGCGCTAGACAAAGTTGCCAGCGCGATCCTTTCCGTGCTGTTGGTTATTCGTTCCTGGTTGTTCAGCAACCGCTCAGCGGTATTCAACGTTGATAATGAGAGACGGTTGTCGGTAGTTGTTGTCTGGCTGTTCGTGATGGGAGTAGTTGATCTGGTGAGAGTTTTCGCTAGAGTTGTCGTGGTTGCCGGTGGAGACGTACGGAGTAGAGCTGTTGGTTTCTGGTCGCGGCCGCTGCATACCTGCC